TGAGGAAACTGAATATAAACATACTATTGCGACAATATATGGTTTAAATGTGTTCTTTAAGGAATCCTGGGTATTTTTATAAGGATAAAGTATATTTATAATGCGATGGTATTCGACATAGCCTGTATCACTGTATATAATACTATAAAATAGTATGATTTCTGCCGCATTCTGTGATATGAAACCACGTCTGGTCACAAAAAGAAGTTATTTCAAACTCTCGACTATGTTAAGTTAATTTGGAGAAAAATCATGTCAATAAATGGTATCTTTGTTGGACAACAGGTTTGTAAACAGGCTCATACACATGCAAAACTGTATCGCACACACATGCTACTGTACTACATTTATTCAAGGCTCAGACCGATTTTTTGTCGCACTGTACAGCCCTAACCAAACCAGTTCCAGATTGTAGAAGTAGCTCATCCTTTAGCAATAACGTTATACTCTTCCTCAATTTCACATCCGCCTTCCACGATGTCGCTCTGCACGGTCGCACACAGAAATATGTCAACAACTAGACTTTATCGTTATTATCGCGGGAAGGTTAATTCTTATCATGGGGAGAATTTTTACCGGTGTATTGCAAACGATAATATATCGCCCATCCCTACTGAACGCGCTTTATTGAAATAAGTGAGTGTGAACGTCTCGATCTGTGTGTCAGTAGATGAGGTCAGCGTCGACGGCGGCCGCATGTGTGTGAGTGATCTGGACAGACAGAAGGTCATCATCAGTCCAGTGTCAGAGTCTGCAGACACCAGCGTCACAGCGACAGGTGCTTCACTGTCCACTTCTCATATTCTGCACGGTTTGACTTAGAATCTCACCAAAAACTGCCGTAGTTTAGTGTCTACTGATCATTTTTCACCTTCTACATAAAGCTACTGTATTTCTGATACTGTACCTTTAAGTCATTTCACACTGATGTTTATTGGGATCAAGGTACTGAATGCTGAGTAGGTGTTGATATGCAAATGAGGGTGGTTATATGTTAATGAGTAATTTTTGCTGTTTTGTTTCAAAAAATATTCTAGATGCACTTGAAGGTTTGGGAGTTTTTTTTATTAAAAAAAGAGCAGTAAATATTCAATTATATTAATTGAATATTTACTGCTCTTTTGTTAATAAAAATAACTCTCTCTCTCTCTCTATATATATATGTATATGTAATCTTACTTTACAATGTTCTAAAATATATGCATATATATACTGTATGTGTGTGTGTGTCCGTCCCTGTTACACTTAATGTTGTCACATTTCCTGGTTAAATAAATATTACATAAAAAAAGAACAAATATAATTCTATTTTGTATTTTATTTAATTTAATATTTTAATACTAATTATACATTTCATAGTGTTTTTATGCAGTTTTATATTTATTCCAAAATAATAACTAAAGGCAGTAACAAGTTGAACAATATTTTGGAAACAATTTACAATAATAATTAAGTTATTAAATAAATAATAATTAACAATAAGGATTCATTAGTTAAAATTAGTTAACTACTTTAGTTAACATGAACTAAGAATAAACAATAGCCTACTTCTATAGCATTTATTAATTAGTTAATATTAATTTCAACATTTACTAATGCATTATTAAAATCAAAAGTTGTGTTTGTTAACATTAGTTTATGCACTGTGAACTAACAATGAACAACTGTAAAGATTAATAAATGCTGTAATAAATGTTCATTGTTTGTTCATGTTAGCCAACTCATTAAATGACACCTTATTGTAAAATATTACCAATATTTTTTATTTGTGAACTGATGTTCAGCTGTTCTTTTTAATAGTCAACTTATTTCGGGTCATCGTCATAAAAGCTCTGTAAACACTGCCACAAACACGAAGATATATCTTTCATTTCATCACACTGAATGCTCATTAAAAACTGACACAGTCATCACGCTTTCAGACCATTTCAAGCTTTATTTTGACGTGACACATAGCAGTGATATCCAAGCGGGAGAGTTGTTTACTTTATAATTAGTCAATAACGCCATCATTTGCTTCATTCTGACCGAGAGCTCGCACGAAAACAAGAGGCAGGATTTATCACACGAACCAATCACATCCAATCATAACCGATCATATCTATGGTTGGGTATCATTTTTTTCGATACCGGTGCCAAATCAATACTCTTAAAACGGTTCCGGTGCCTGAACCGATACTTATTAAAAAATAAATAAATAAAAAATCCCCAAAAAAATGATGGATTGGCCATTAGAATAGAAATAGAATAGAAAGTGCAAATGTTAGAGCAGTGTTACTCATTGCGCGGCTCGCGAGCCTCATGCGGCTCGCCCAACTTTTAGCAGGGCTATAACATAACCCATTAAAAAAACTCACACCATGTCTACACCGGACGCGAGTGGCGCGATCCGACAAAAGACAATAGAACCCAGTGATGTTGTCTACACAGGATGCAGCACGGCGCCATGCGATGCGACAGAATCCCCATCAGTAAACTGATGCCTCGTTCTATTTATGACGAACTGTACTGACACTACGTTCAAATGATTTGCAACTGTCAGATTTTTAGCGCAGCAGGGAGCGG